AACACAATTTATTTAAACACTATCGTCAAAATACAAACAAAAGAAGGAGGAATTTAGAATAACTTAACTATTAGAAAACTTAACCGAACAATAGATACAGTACCTCTTACTAATTAACTGCTCCAATATAGTAACACCCCATAAACACACCCCCTGACAAAAAGGAAAATTCAGACACAGATTCTCACATGCAGTTCTCCAATCCAGGAGGAAAAAAAATCAACAGAAAATTCAGAGAAAGTGAGGCATTCACTGAAGCTTCCAACTCTTTTGGCACCTAAATGGGTTCCGCTTAAAACTAAACTCAAAAACTACAAAAAAACTAGAAAGCCAGGTCTGTGAAAAGCTGGTCACACCCAGGCTGCTTCCATTGTTCCAGCATTTAAATAAATCCCCAAGGCCTCACAAACTGTTTACTTTCTTAGAGACAGCTCAACACCTCTGCCTTACAACCTCTCTTCAAAACAGGATGACATAACCTTTTAAAGTGACAGCATTGTCACTACATATAAAGGCTCAGGTTATAGACTACAACAGACATGCCATGAATAAAATTGTGACTTCAGAATCTGACCATTGAGTGACGATTACCTTACTTCCATGCACTTGTGCCTTATCAAGTCCCCGTCTCTCTTCATTTATACACCGTTTTCAATTCTCCTCAGCTTCCCTAAGAAACCTAGACAGCACTAATTCATGACATGTAAATCAGAGCAGGTAACTCACCAAATACCTAAAGATAGTAAGAACTGCCGATACTGGAGTCTGAGATAACACAGTGTAGAGCTGGAGGAACACAGCAGGCCAGGCTGCATCAGAGGAGCAGGAAAGCTGACGTTTCAGAAATGGGGGAGGGGGAAGAGGACTCTGAAATAAATAGATAGAGGGGGAGGCGGTGATAGAATGTGGATAGTGGAGCAGATAGTTGGAGAGAAGACGGACAGGTCAAGGAAGCGGGGATGAAGCTAATAAAGGTGAGCGTAGGTTGGTAGGTTAACTAACCAACCCCCACCCCCACTTCCTACCTACTAGCCTCATCCCCGCCTCCTTGACCTGCACTTAATCTCTCCCACCTATCTGCTCCTCTGTCCACCTTCTATCATCGCCTCCACCCTCTCTCCTTATTTATTTCAGAGCCCCCTTCTCCTCCCCCATTTCTGAAGAAGGGTCCAGGCCCGAAACGTCAGCTTTCCTGCTCCTCTGATGCTGCTTGGCCTGCTGTGTTCATCCAGTTCCACACCTTGTCACCAAATACCTATCCTGGTCATCATGAGAGGAGTTTTCCTGCATGGACACCATCCAGTTACCCGAATGCCAGTTACCCGAATGCTGTCTGCCTCTGCTTGCTTTCACATTGGCTTTCTTGGCACTCACTGGCTGGCTTACAGGATGCCAGCTTCCATGAGTTTCATTCCTTTATTAGCACAGAAGGTGAGGCAGGCAGTTTGAGGAGCACTGAATAATCAAGGAGCTGAACACATCACCGTGCTAAGCCGGCATCACACTTAGAGCATGTGCCAGCTGTTTATACGGCAAACACGCTGCATGTGCTTCAAGCAAACAGTGTGAAAGTTAAAGGGGAATAGTCCTGAGTGAGGTTAATGAGGACTATGGTCAGTCAGGAGTACTTATACCTTCAGTCAAGGTTCTCATCTTATTCCAGGCAGTATCCTGGTTAAACTCTTCTGCACTCTGTCTCGTGCAAGGACACCCTATGGTGACCAGAACTGCATGCAATGTTTCAGTTGATGCCTATCCACAGTTTTGTACTGCTCCAGGATAGCTTCCTTGCCCTTGGAATTCCATACCACAGCAAAAAACGGGAAGCATTCCACATACCTCCTAACTGCCTCACCTATCTGTCCTGCTACGGTAAGGGATCTGTGAATATGCACACCAATTTTCCCCTGAACTTCAGTGCTTTCCAGACCTCCACCTTTGTGTGCTGTCTTGCCTTGTTAGTACACCCCGTGTGCACTACCTCACATGTCTCCTGTCTGAACATTGTCAGTCCAGGGGATTCACCACACTCAGTCAGGCACTTGGTCCTACCAGAGACTGGGGATCTACACCTTTACAGTCCAGGGATTGGGCCACAGTCAAGTGCAGGTTGGGGATGGTAGTGCATCAGTCAGGGTGCTGTCTGGGAGTGGGCCGATGTACCCTGCAATAAGACAAAGGGAGGGATTGAGTTTGATGCAAGTGGATGGAAGAGATGTCAATGCTGAGGACAGGAGGTGAAGTGTCCCCAGTGAGTGAGTAAGAAGTGCAGAGGTCAGAAAGGGTTTGTGGGTTGGGAATTTGAGGTGCTAAGGGACATCGAGTGGACATGATGCTTGCAATAACGAAACTGGTAGTCCACGAGGCTTGGGGAAAGACAAGCGTAGTGCCATCCAGAACAAAAATTGCTGGAGAAACTCAGCAACTCTGCCAGCATCTGAGGAGAGAGAAAGCAGAGTTAAAGTTAAAGTTAAACTAAAGTTAAAGTCAGAGTTAACTAAGTTAAAGTTCTTTAGAACTGATTGTAGCTTGGAAAAGGTTGGTATATATGCTGAAGATGGGGTCGGGTGAGGAATAAATAATAGGTGGAGATGGAGACCAGGGAGCGAGAACATCAGTTGGGGAGACTGGGTAATTGTCAAAATGAGAGAATCAGTGACTGCTGGTGACTTTTCTTTCCGATTTCCATCATCCGCAGTCCGTTAATTTTTTTTTGTTGTTATGTGTAGTGGCATAGTTAGAGTGAGTAAAAGTCCCTGAGAATATGAGATAATACAGGGAGGATAATATCATTTACCCTTGAAGAGCCTACAGAATCATTGACGTTCTTCCTGCGCTGCTGTGAGTGTTCCCGAACATGGCAGTTGTCCAGGCTGACATGGTGAAGTGGCATGGTGTCCCGTGGCAGTCCGCACGGTAAGTGACTGCCCTCCTCCCTCGTGCGGCATCCACCAGACCTGCAAGTTCCCGAATGCGAAGTGGGAACTGAGCATTCATTTCCTCCCAGATTCACCTTCGGTCAAGCACCACAGGGTGAGGACCAGCTCTTGGCTCGCTGGATCGGATTGGCCGTGCACAGGGTCTTTCAACATGGCGCCAGCAACGTGAATGCTGGGAAGTCCCATGTGGCTGGCATGCCTAACTCTCCTCCCACCCGATTTCACAGGAAAAGCGTAATGAATGAGGCAGCAAAACATTCTAAAAGTAGCTGGCAAAATACCATCTGAGGTTGGGTATTGATGGAATAAACTGGAGAGGTTGGGCATTAATAGCACAATGGAGTATGTCGCTCACTTTAATACCCTCTGCTTCTGCTTGAACACAATGAGTATCGAATTAAAACAGATATCAACTGCTAATCATAAATGCTACTCGATCAGAGGAAGTCAAGATCTGCTGAGCTGTTGGTCTCCACTTGAAACAGTGCAACACCCACCATGCTGGGTTTATTTACATAGAGGAGACTGCTCTCAGAATATCTGGTGATGTGCTTCTAGTGTAATCCTGACCAATGCATTGCACTCCACTCCTTCTGTTTGATGTGGCACAGTGGTTAGCACTGCTGCCTCACAGCCCCAGGGACCCAGATTTGACTCCACCCTCGGGCGACTGTCTGTGTGGAGTTTGCACATTCTCCCCGTGTCTGTGTGGGTTTCCTGCGGGTGCTCCGGTTTCCTCCCACAGCCCAAAGATGTGCAGGTTAGGTGAATTGGCCATGCTACATCACCCATAGTGTGCAGGCGAGGTAAGTTGGCCATTGAAATGCGGGGTGACAGGAATGGGTCTGGGTGGGATGGTCTTTGGAGGGTCAGTGTGGACCCAATGGGATGAATAACCTCTGTCTGCACCATAGGGATTCTATAAAAGCAAAGACTGACAGCTGACCTCATGGAGATCTTTAAGATTATCAAGGAGCTCAATATGGCTGGACATTAAGTGCATCGCCTTCCATTTCCTTCTCAAAATGCAAAGGAGGGGATGGAGGGCTTGGTGGTGTATGAGCCTGTAGGGTTGACTGCCAATCGGGTCATTATGAGCTGACAGGCGAATAAGGGTGACTAACTTGACCTTCGTAGGCCTCAACACTGGCAACCTGGCCAACAGCTGCTGGGTCCTAAAGCCTGCTGGTTGAGGGCTACCTCTTAGGGGATCCAGCAGTGAGAAGGCAAGTCTTTATTTTATCCCATTGTGGAGGCAATGATGACTGTGATGGGGGGGTGCAATGAGTGTCAGAAACAAGGTCAGGGTGGAAGATGGCTTTCAAAGGCTACCAGTTGATCCAATCTGTGCCTTTAATTGCCCCCAGATGGACAATTGGAGGTACCCTTCCCCCCCAACCCCAACCACCACCCCCACCGTCTCCCCAACACAACAGGCAGGTCTCCATGGTTTTCCAGTCTGGAAATGACCCCCCACAACCCCCATCTCTCCTGAACTAAGACTCTTAAGTCGTTGTTAATTGACGACTTCATGACTTTGCTGAGTTGAGAACATCAGCTGTGGACCCTCTTACCCAGTGTGTATTTGGAAATATCACAAGAATGGGGTGTGTTTCTCTCCAGAGCCAAACTTACCCGCAAATTTCTCTTTCTTGTCACCTCTAGGATAAGGAAAATTGCACCCTTATAATATGGTTCTACTGGTTAACTAGAAATCTTTGTCATGAACTCCATTTTGCTGTTGTTCTAAAAAATATAAGAGAGAAGTTCGGGGTAATCTGTTTATCCAGGGTATACTCCGAATGTAAAACATATTGCCAGACAGAATAGCTGAGGAAAATAAAATGGATACATGGAAGGGCTAGTGAAATAAGTGCATGAGACAGAAAGGAATATAAGAATATTCTTCTGGGGCTAGATGGTGTAGAACATGAGGCATCTCATGACATTCCAAACAGCAGTGCCGAGCACTTCAAGCGTGTATTTTCCCTGGGAGTGCAACAGCATGTGAGTTACCTTTTGATCTTTCCCAATTAATTGGTTGTTTTTGCATTGTCCCAGGGCAAGAGTTGGAAAGTGATTCCCAACCTGTGATCTACACTGAAGTGCAGACACCAAAAAAGGTTTGTAAAGGGGCTTCCAAAATTAAGGCGTCCTCATTTTGTTGCATGGGTGTGACACGTTTAATGCAGAAAACCATGACAACTCATTCCACAGGAGAAGGAGGCAATAATTTATACAAGGAATGGATTCTAAATTTAGGATGATTAATGGGCTTAATGAACAAGTTGGAAAGATATAGATCAAGCTATAGAGAGTTTGGGTTGGGTTGTTTAGGGAGGGTGCCCCAGATAATCAAACTGGTGAGGCAGTTGGAAGAGGAGAGTGCAGAAAAGGCTCAAAACAGATGACTGAATGCTGTGAGAGGGGATGAGGTGCAGAGGTTCAGTGGACTGAGGAGACACTTTGAAACACGGGAGAGAGTTTTAATTTCATTTTGTATGGACTGATCATGTATGTTGATGAAAGACAAAGATTCATCCAGTTCACTTCTGACCATTCTGGTGGTCACACTTAAGCTGCTAGTTTATTGAATGTGTCTGTCAATGAATAGACCAGAATTTATTTCCCATTCCACAATGCCCTAGAAAAGGTCGTGTTGAGATGCCTTTTTGATAGACTGAAGCTTTTTTCTAATTCTTTTGGATACTCGTGTCAGAATCCTCATCGTTAAATCTCAATCACAAACTCCCTCCCTAAAAAACAATGTGGGAAAACTTAAACCGCACAGACTGCAGTGGTTCAACAAGGGTCTGTCTTCTCCAGAGCAATGAGAGAGGACAATAGATGCACGCTGATCAAAATATTTTGTGATTTAAAGAAAAACTTGTACAGCAGATCAAAACCTTGGCCTGAAATGAGTAATTTGAAGGAGGAGAGAGCGATAGAGAAGATGAGAGGTTGAACAAGGTAATTTCACAGCCATGGACCTAAAGTGAAGATGCAGGCACTAATGTCAGAGTGTTCAAAATTAGGGTGCAAAATTGCTCAGAACTGGAAGAACACATGGATCAAAGGAATTTGTAAGGCTGAAGGAGGTAACAGAGATGAAGATGGATGGAGCAGTAGAGGGAATTCTGAAACAATTAAGATGATAATATTAAAACTAAGGCCATACTTTCTAGAACCAGGGGGCATAGCCTCAAAATAAGGTGGGAGCAGATTTAGGACTGAGTTGAGGAGGAACTTTGTCACCCAAAGGGTTGTGAATCTGTGGAATTTTCTGCCCAGTGAGGCAGTTGATACTGCCTCGTTGAATGTTTTTAAGGCAAAGGCAGATTTCAAAACAGTAAAGGAATTAAGAGTTATGGGGAATGGGAGGGTAAATGTAGCTGAGTACATGGGAACATCAGCCATGACCTTATTGAATCACAGAGCAGGCTTGAGGAGCCAGATTGCCTACTCCTGCTCCTATTTCTTACGTTCTTCTGTTCTTACTTGAACAACGTACATAGGTGATTGCTGGGTGAATGGGACCTTGTGCTGGTTGGGACTCAGATTTTAAAAAAAAAACAAGTTTTTTGTAACAGTTCACATTTGTTCCTCTCTCTCTCACCTGCAGACACAGGCAACTCAATCTGAGACCAGTGGCAGACGAGAAAACGAATTTGCCTACGCCAACTTGCAGCATGAATCAATTGGCCAGAGGCAAGCGAAAGCTCAGAGCGACAAAGTGGAGATCTTGGGAGCTGTGTGAAAGAATGCAGACATAATGCTGCAATCAGTTCATTAACAAGGATGACAGGGAATCGGCAAAACTGTAAATGACACTGAAAAAAATTAAGTGTGGTATTTTTTACGGGTAAAGCAATTTGGAAATGAACCCTAACCATATTTTTGTGCAATGGAAGTAAAATAGTTACAGGCTGTTAAATGTATAAAGTATCAAACCCCTTACGTGTTATGTCCACTCCTGTAATTTACTTCCTGTCATACTTCGTCACACATTCTTTCAACCCACTTTCTCCCATTGTGCCTTTTTCTCCCATCCCACCTTTCCCCTTGGTGCTTTCTCTGTCATGTGCTGCATGAAGACTCACTATTCACTTAGCATGCCAAATTCTTCCTCCCATTTTTAGTTGTATATATTTGAAGCAATACCTGCTCCAACTCACTGTGAGCAAAGCCACAAAGTATATCACATGAAAGACACAAATATATTTTATTGTAAGCTGGAACATTGAAAATTCTCGGAGACCTATTTAGATTTCAACTGATCTCCCCTGATTTTGTAAATTATAATTTCAAACAAAAAGCATTAAAATATACAAAATCTGTGTGACTAAATATTTCAGTGAGACATACGTCTAATGCAAGTATAGCCTACATGGAGAGATAGTCTTCTGAATGCAGGAATACTATGTGCAGTTTGACTCATCTGGTTCCAGTTTTTGGTTACTTTGAGCAAGCAGGACAAATAATTTGTCCTAATTCCCAGTTGTTTTCTCAAAGACACGGTGTTACTCGATGAGATTGTGCCAAAGTCGGTGAGGCCTGGTAGCATCTTTACTCTTATTCTAATCATGCCATATCTGAGTACATGATGCTAGCACTTGAGAGCAGGTGTTTCTGCAGCACCCATTTTAAAGAAACATGTAGCAGGAAATCGAAGAGTATATGTGCAGAAAAGCAAAGGCACGGCTCCTCAACACACACACCAATCAGGAACATCTCCTCTCTCTGGAAATTTTCCACAACATCCACGCTTTGGAACTTACGTCTTTCCGATTGCATGTGCTCGTACCTACATTTTCAAAATGACATAAATAAGTTTCTTGTGTCAGCCATCCCACCTCAATCTGATTGTTTGTTTTCCCCTGATCTTTAACATTGTGCGTGTTTTTTTTTCAACTATCTCTGCCTGCCACTAAACTGATTGGCTTCGTATTCTGGTGTTGCCAATGCTACCAGGGTGTTTCCAACAAGATTTAAACACAGACCCTCATCCTCCCTCCTCTGGTCGCTCACCAAGTCCACTTTCCCACGTAAACCATGATTCCGCCAGATCCATTCACTTTCCCACACAAACCATGGGAAAGTGAATGGATCTGACAGAATCATTCGTGACTGTCAATCAAACAGCCCCTTGTCCTACTGCTCAATATTCATTTTGTGGCCACGTGCACTCTCCTCATTTACTCATAGCAGTGTCCCAGAGATTAATCTTTGTTCCTGGAGAAGTCAGGACAGTGCAGGAGGGTTGGCAACTGTAGTGTGGTGCTCTACCTTTATTGCTTTCTACCCATCTTAGTCTATTCACCGAAGTACTTTCTGTCTATTTCTACTTCCTGGTATATCTGGTTATTTTTCTATATATGCCTGTGTGTTTATCTCTCTCCATTTCTGTCACTTTCCCCAATCTATCTCTGTCCCTATTTGTGGTCGTCTTACTTTCCCTTTACATCACACAATCTTTACATGTAGACGTATATCCATGTCTCTACTACTATCAGTCTTTGCCCCTATCTATCTTGCTACCTCAGTCTTTCTTTCCTTCTGTATATCATTTCCTGTATCTCATTGTTACAGCCTCTGATTTTCTCTGTTCCTGTTAACATTTTTAATTAAGAGATTAGTGTAACATTCTATAGGAGAACTCATATTAAACTAAACTCAACATCCATTTAAATAATTTCAATTAAAAGAAATTCTGCCACAACAAAAGTAGGGATAAGCCTAGAATTTTCAAAAGAAAAACTAACCAGGAAAATACAGAAACCTAAATCAGCAGATAATGTTTCAATAATGAATTAGCATTTTATCAACTCAATATTAATTACCTTAAGTTATTTTGTCTTACACTTGTTTAGATATGAAAACTGATTTGAGTTGTTCAAAGTGTTCAGAGTCTCCAGGCACTGAATCTCAGGAATGAAACATACCACCACTTCTGTGAAAAAGACGAGCATTTCACAAAAAAATGCTGTTTTAAATATTCTGAATTTGAATAATTTCAAAATGCTGGGAATGATGGTCTGGACTACAGAAAGGAAGTGGCTCATCCCTTCAGCTATACCTGGCTAGAGTGTGATACAATGAAATATAGGACATCTGTGTTTCCATGGCTGTGTTAAGCTGTACAATACGAAGCACAGTCATTTTAACTTTAGGGAGGGTGAGATTGAGTTAACCCTCTCAAGAGGAAACAATTGGATAGAGATCATAATGGGCAGCAATTCAATATCACTGTCTCCCATTGTTGCAACTATCACTTTTCTTTCTCTCACAAGCAGCCATTGATTTATTGGGAGTTGGACCCTGGGGATGTTTGGTATGTTACAGTGTCCTTTTTTTAAAAAATATATATATTTAGTGAAAATACCTTTATGGGTGTACAGCGATGGGCTTTGTCTATGAATTTCATTGTGTCCATCAAAAACTTGGAAAAATATGTAAATCGAATAATTGTGGATTAATTACTAACCAGAATATTCCACCCCAAGAAATAAATAAAGCACTTGAATTATTAGGAGTCACTGTGTTCAAAATGTGGTGTCTCTTCAAATGGAAAGTCAGTGTCATGCGTAGAATGGGTGTTCAAGAAGAGTTAAACAGCAAAAAGATTCTTATCGGATTAACCAGCTGAAGCTCAGGAGAAGCTGAACTCAATGACCCGTGCAATTCCAGATTTAATCCCTTGGGTTGCCATACATTTTTCTCGCAGCATTATACTGTGGAGAAGTTAAGAATTGCTGTTGTGACTTTCACGTCCTCTGAGCATTCCAAAGTATTTCACAGTCTATGAAGTACATTTTTGGAGTTTGACGTAAGGGGAACTGGAAGGCATTTTGAGTGCAGCAAGGTCCCACAAACAGCACTGAGGCAGGACATCAATTAATTTAGCATCCCTACGTTGTGGAAAGAGGTCATTCTGCACTGACACTCCAAACAACATGCCACCCAGCCCCAGCACCCCCACATTACCTTAATTAACCCCCCTAACTCGCACATCCTGGACAATTTAGCATGGCCGATTCACTTAACCTGTACATCCTCGGACAATGGGGGGGGATCTTGAGCACCCGGAGGAAACCCACACAGATGCAGGGAGAACGTGCAAACTCCACATGGATGGTCACACAAGGCCAGAATTGAACCAGGTTCTCTGAAGCAGCAGTGCTAACCATAGAGCCACCAAGCTGCCATTTGCTGTATAAAAGTAAAATGCTGTAACTACGAAAAGTAAAATTTCGCACATTCTGGAAACACTCAATGGCCCAGACGAACATCCTCAGAGCAAGGAAAAGAGTGAAGGAACCAAACCTGGCAATCTGAGTTGGAATTGCTATTTCTGAAGCAGAACCCTTCATATTAGATGCAATGTTTATAGGAGACATGCTTCCTCCTAACAAAACTGGTTGTATTCCTATATGTACATGTGAACATGGAGCAGGAGTTTAACATTTGGTCTTTCCAATCTTCCTTCCCTGGTTCATAAAATCACGGCTTATCTGATTATAATTTCAAGTTTAAACTCCAGCCTACCCCGATAACCTGTCACCCCCTTGCTTAACAAGAATCCACTCACATCTGTCACAAAAATATTCAAGGATCCTGCAGCTACAGCCAAGAAGACAGTTCCAAAGACTCGTGACCTTCTGAAGAAATTGCAATGTCCGATGCCTCTTTTTTACTCGTCCTGCCAAAATGAACAAACGTCTCCTTGTGAGGAGGGCATACCTGGAGAGTGCACCAGGTTCTCTACTCCCTGTCACTGTTCCTTCAGTCCTGTGGACCATTGGCTGAGGCGATGGAGAGCAGGTCTGTGCAGACCCTGAGGACGCTGGGCCTGGTTCTCCTTGGCAACCACTGCCCTGTCCATAGAGACAGACAGACAGTCACATGGCTCTCTGCACTGCTGCAGCTTCTGGGCCCTGAGGGCCATTCCCTCTCACATTCCTGCCTGCAGCTCCTGTCCCTCCCTGTGCAGGTGGATGGAGTCCCCAACTCCTGACTCCAAAGGGTCCTCTCCTGCCTGGGCCTGAGCAGGTGCCTGGTCTCTGCCCGTCCTCTGAGTGCCAGTGACCTGGGCCGTGTCTTCCTCAACCAGCTGCGGATCTGTCATGGAGAGAAATTACAGAGAATTGTGAACACAGCCTAGTCCATGATGTAAATAATCCTTCCATTCATTGACTCCATCTATACTTCCCATTGCCTCAGGAAAGCAACAAACACAATCAAAGACTCTTTCCACCTTGTTATACTCTCTTCTACCATCTTCTGTTAGTCAGAAGATACAAAAATTTGAAAACAAATACTAACAGATACAAGAACAGCTTCTTCCCTGTTATCATAAGACTTATGAATGGACCTCTCATATTTAGAATTGATCTTTTTCTACACATTCTATGTGGCTGTAACACTATACTCTGCATTCTGTTCTGTTACCCTAATGTGCATGATTTGCCTGGAGAGCACACAAAACAACAATTTTCACTGCACAAAAGCAGAAGTTGCTTGAAAAGCTGTACAGATCTGGCAGCATTTGTGAAGAGACATCAAAGTTAACATTTCAGTTGCAGTAACCCTTCCTCAGAACTGAGGGAGGAACATTCTGAGGAAGGGCCACTGCACCCGAAATGTTAACTTTGATTCCTCTTCACAGATGCTGCCGATCTGTACAGCTTTTCCAGCAACTTCTGCTTTTGTTCCTGATTGACAGCATCTGCAGTTCTTTCAGTTTTTCTTTAGTACTTTTCACTGTACTGTGACAATAATAAATCAAATCAAATCAAAAGTGAGCTGATCACCAGATTGTGTTCCCACACTCTTTAATGTTAACCTACCTCCTGAGGTGTCAGGATCTGGACTGGTCAGGAATGGAGGAGATGGCCTTGATAATGCTTCCTTAGAGTACTCTCACCGTACGTGTGTGTGTGCGTGTGTGCATGTGTGTGTTTGCACATGTGCGTGCGTACGTGAGTGAATGTGTGCATGTGTGTGTGCACGTGTGTGTGTGGTTTTTGTGTGTGTGTGTTTGTGTGTGTGTGTGTGCATGTGAATGTATGCATGTTTGAGTGTGTGTGTGTATATGTGTGTGTGTGCGCATGTGAGTGTGTGCATGTGTGTGAGTATGCATGTGTGTGTGTGAGTGTGTGTGTGAGTTTATGTGAGTGTGTGTGTGAGTTTGTGTGTGTGTGTGAGTGTGTGTATGTGTGTGTGTGTGTGAGTGCGTGTGAGTGTGTGTGCGTATGTGAGTGAGTGCATGTTTGAGTGTGTGTGTG